TAATGTTTATTATCTTTATATTTACTTTCTTTCTTATTTGTTTTTCTTTGTGTTCTTCTTTTTCTATTCACTTTTCTTCTTATTTCTTTTATCGTAGTTATTATTATGTATTTTATTGCTATTGAAGTTCTTTCTTTTCTTTGAACATGAATTCCTGTTTGTTGTTTGATTTTCTTTACAATACTCTATTACATTACTCAATAACATGGCAACAAAATATGTTGTATATTCTGAATTGATAAAAGGATCTATTTTGTTAAACAAAATAAAAATAAAAATAGAAAGAAGAATCTAATTATTTATATATTCAATTTGATTAAATCATCTTCATAATTTTATAGTAATAATTTTAATGAGAAGATTCATTAACGATGTTTAAAAGAGAAGATTTCTCAGGTAATGAGTTGATAATATCTGTTTTATAAACATTTAAAAATTGATTATATTCTTTATTTATATAGTCAAAAGCATTTTTAATTACATCAAATTCATAAGAATTATTATTAATTAATAATAAATTTAATTTTTTTAATATATTACAAAGAGTACTGAAGTATAAAGCAATTAAATCTATGTTGTTATTATTAAGAATATTATTAATAACTTCTATATTAAATAATAATTGGGTCAAGTCCCATTCTAAATAATTATTAATTTTATTGATTTTATCAATTAATTTAATAATAATGATATAAATTTTAGAAGTGTTATTTATTTTAAGAATAAATGAAATATAATGTTTTAATATAATAACTATATTTTTAATCTTTTCTTCTTTAATAGTATTCTTTTCTGTGTTTATTAGGTCTTTAATTCCTTTAAATAAATTTTTAATAAAAAATACTTGAGAAGAGTTATCTTGTTTATCAATAATAGTTTCTATAATTTCTTCAAATAACTTATAGTCTATTCCATTTTCACTTGTTTCTTCTTCATAAATTAATGATTTTATTAAATATTTCATTGTTTTATGTTGAATATTTATATTTTGATTTTGAATAAAATTATTTATTAATAATTCTCCAATTAATTTATCATTTGTTATACAAATAAAATGAACAATTAATTTAACAACTTCTTTATCAAATAATGAGATGGTCCATTTTTTATTTTTAAACTGAAATCCGATATTTTGATTCAATTCAATTTGTTTTTCAAACGGAATATTATTTAATTTTAATTTTTGTTCTTCATTAATTCTTTCATAAATTTGATTTTCATTTAATGAAATACTAATATTTTTTAATAATTCTTTTATTATTCCTTCAAGTGTTTTTTGGTTAATAATAGTATTAAATACTTCTATTGATTTAAATACTTTTTCTTTATATTCATCAAATGGTATTATTCTGTATTCCATCCAACATTGAGGAATATAATAAAGAATCATTTTATTAAATATTTCTTTAGAACATTCACAAATTGGAATATGAATATTACTAATAATCATTCTAATAATACTAATACTATTTAATCTACAAATAATCATCGGAAGTATTGTATTTTTATATTTATTTGGAATACTTATCATTTCTATATCTTTCATTATTAATTCTTTTATTGATAACGTTAATCTTTCTATCATTCCTTTTTTACCTTCAATCACTTCTTTTATTGTTGAAGTAATAATTCCTTTTAAAATTATTTTCCATTCTTTTTCAGTTAATTCAGTAGTACAAATAATTCTTGGTATTTTGTCAATTTCAATTTTTATATTACATTCTTCATTTGGAATATTAATCAAACTTTTAACTGGTAATTCATTTAATTGTAAAGAAGTACTAGAATTTTTTGAATTTATTAAATTTAAAGAAATACCATTTTGTTCAAGGAAGAAAGCAATTTCTTGTTTTAGACCAGAAAGATTTAATTTATAAATTTCTTTAAGTATTTCAATTAAAGGAAATATCCAAGGATTGTGAATTGTAAAAATACTTCCTTTAATTCCTTTTAATAAATTAACCAAAAAGAATCCAGCACCTTCAATTGAATGAACTTTACATTTACTAATAATAAATGGTTTTAAATTTAATTGAATCATTAAAATTGGTTTATTTTGATGTAGTGTTAAAGTACCTAACCATTTTCCAATTCCAATACAATGATCAATATGACTTATTTTATTAAAATGATTATGTTGAATTGCAGTAGTACAATATTGAATTTGATATTCAAAATCACATATTTTTAATAATTTTTTTTGTTGTTCGATAGTAGAATGAATTGCAACAATAAAAATAGCAATTTCATCTTTTAATTCATGTGAAATATCTTTAATAAAATTATCATTTTCATTAAATATCCAATTTATTAAATTTTGAATGGTTTTTGAAATACATTTTTTCATTGGTTCATTAAAATAATTTTCATTTATTAACGACTTTAATATATCCATTTCAGAAACTCTGGGTTTATTACATTGTGCATTAATATATGAATATAATTCTGTATTAATTTGATTAATATGTGAATAATTTCTTAATGTTTTAGCAATTCCTCCATTAATAATTCCAGTTTTTTTTAATTTTTCAAGAACAATTAAAGAATTATAAAATGTTGGTTTGTTAATATCGTCTAATTGATTTATAATAATTCTAACAATATGAATATACATCACCCCTTTTATTATTTTTCTTTTAAGTAATTCTCCTACAATATCTCCAATTATTGAACTTCCTTTAATTGGTGGTTGAATCAATCCGTCACATAAAAATTGAAGTATTTCACTTACAATATTTTTGTTTATTTCATTTTGGTTTTTAATTATACATTCAAATGAGTTACAAAATTCATTAATAGTAATTTTATTATTTAATACTTCTTCTAATAAATTTATTTCATTTTCATTTAAACTAATTTGATTTTCAATTTTATTAATTTTAATAAATTCTATTAAAATAGTATAAATTGGTTTAGAAAGAGTTGTGTTACTAACAATTTGATTTTTTTCTTCTTTATATTTTAAAAACAATAAAATACTTTCTTTCATATTCTCATTTAATATTAATTGAATTGCATTTATTCCAAGTATTGAAGCTAAATCAATCATCATTAATTTATTTGATTTAAATTTTAAAATTAATTCTAAATTATTACTATTAATTACTTTACTGATACTACTAATAATTTTACTTGATTTTTCATATTCTTTAATTAAGTACTCAATTGTTTGTTTATTGTTTTCAATTAAAAATACTAATATTCTTTGATTTTCTATTACTTCTTTTATTACTTCTATTCTTCCCCATTCAATATATTTACAAATAACATTTGGATATTTGTTACTAATTTCTATTATTATTGAATTCATTTTATTATAATTTATTACATCATTTCCTTTTGATTTCATATATTCAAAGAAATCATTTGAATTAAATAATTCTTCTATTGAATTAAATTGATTAAATAATGAAAGAACTAATAGTTTTATAATTTTAATATTCTTTTGATTTGAAAGAATATAAGTAATAAATGAAATTAATAAATTAAATGATATTGTTGATATTTTACAATTATTTAAATATAAACAAATGTAATTAATTTCTTCTTCTTTTAGTTCTTTATTAAATTGACTAATTACAACTGACCATTCAACTTTAGATAAAAATGGTGTATTACATCCTATTTTCCTTTTACAAATAATATCAAGACATAAAATACATTCTTCTGTTGTTAAATAATATTCTGTAATAAATTCATTTAATTCTTCATTACTAAATTCTTCAATTAATTCTCTAATTGGTAATATAATAGTATTTTGAGGTAATGTTAGTGTTATTGGATTAGTCCAATGTAATGCAAAAATTGGAGATGGATGAGTAGATTGTGTAATATTCACTACATAATGTGGATCTTCATAAAAATTTTGAAGTAATTCATCTTTAGGAATATCTGTTTTTTCAATTGGCAATGAAAGAAATTCTCCATGATGAAGTGCAAGAAGATGTTGAAGAAATTGTAATTCATGTTTTTTTAATGTGAGTTTAGATATATCACAATTAAATTGAATTGAATTTATTGCCTCAAAGAAAATTCCTTCAAAAAATGGTGATGAAATTAATTGAGAAATAAAATGTGATAATTCTTCATAATATATTTCAGTACTCTTCTTATATTTTGTTGATAATAATAATGATAAATAATAAATTATTCCTTTTCTTCCTACTTTTTTTATAAATTCATTTATTTGTTTTATTATAGTTTTTGGGTTATTGGATTGAATGCTTTCAAAAAGAATTTTAATTTGAAGTAATTCACTAGAAGTCATACAATAATTTTTTAGTTCTTTTTATTTTTTTTTATTTCTTTTTTTAATTTGAAAATACTTAATTAATTCTTTAGTTTTTTTTTGTTTTCTTTTGGTTCTTTTTTTTAGATTAAATTTTGAAATAAATAACATAATGGATCAACTTGAAAAGATTCAAGTTTCACTTGGAAATGGATTAAATTTTGGATGTGATTATTTAGGATATATCGGTGATATGCAAACGTCACACTCAAATTATATTATTTCTATTAAAAATTCAGAAAATGAAATAATTACAATGGACGAATTAATTCGTATAGGTAGAGTTTCAGCAAATACAGGTAAACAAGGAGTATTAATAGATTCAACAGGAAAAGGGGTATCAATTGATTGGAAAATGAGACAAAAATTATTTTAATTAATAAAAAATTTATTTCTATTTAATTTACAAACAATAAAATAAATAACAAAAAATATTCCACTTAAAATCATTTTCAATCGTGTTTTTGTTTTTTATTCAAATATTTTGGAACGGTTTTTCCAGAAGTAAAAGCAATTGTTCCAAAATCCAAATTATCTTTTACAACAGGACTTGTCATTGTTGGTCTAACAAATGGTTCAACTTTTCCTTCTTGTTTTTCTTTTTTAGACTGGTGCTTTTGTTTATTATCATTATGATGTTTAAAATGTTTTTTGCTTTCTGGTAATTCAGTCTTTTCAACTTTTGTATTTAGGTTCTTTGTTTTTCCTTTATGAACTTCATCTATCTTAGCATGTAATTTACGTTTTAATGCAATAGTTGGATTTTCAGTTAATTCTTCTCCTACTTGGTCTTCTTCCATTAGTGGTTGAGCAGTTTGTTTAATTTGATCTTTTTTCATAGCCAAAAGAGCCTCATTATATTGAGATATAGTCATTTTTCCTTCAACTGATAGCTGTCTTTTAGAAATTTCATTTAAGTCAACAGCTAAGTCATCATGAGCTACTTCAAATTTACGTTTTGTATTTTTACTGTCTTCAATTTCTGTGTGATAAAATTCAACTGGTATGTGATCAAACATTTTTGCTATCCATTGTGCTGTCTCTTCAACACTCATCTGTTAACTAATCATTTCTATTACATTTAAAAACCCTTTTTTTTCTTTAAACCTTTTTTTATGTTTTTCTTTTTTTTTTTATTGATTGAAAGATTCTTCTGCTTTATTTTTGTTTTTAGTTTAATTGGGATTCGAATGTAGCACTTCAGAGATATCACATAACCCTAATACACACTATGCCTCAAATCCCCAATTATAATCTGGCTATGACTGCATTTGGTTAGAAAACCTCTTCCTCAATATTGAAAGAATATCAGCGTTTATTATTTGTGTTGGTTGCATATCATTTATAATAAAAGTGTAGTTATTTATAAAGACGATAACGCTATTTACTTGTTAGAATATAAGGTATTTGTTAATACACATATATCAAAGAAAAAGGATCTGATTGTTATGGTTGATGTTAAAATAAAAATTAATCATAGTGACATAATGATAATGATTATTCTTGTTAAAAATGAAAGTAAAGAAGAGTTTTAATACTCATTAAAATCAGATAATAACTTAAATGATGAATATTTAAATCAGAGATATCTGAAATACTTTATTGTACAATAAATAAACGAAGAAATGAATTTCTCACATTCCAACAACTAAAAACTAAGAACAAACTAATAGACGATGAACATACGATGTTAAAACAAACAATCTTCACTGAAGAATGAACAATAGAAAATAAAACTATTAACATTTAATTATCTCCTTTTTATTTGTTTTTAATTAAATCCAATTACCTTCTAAAACACTTCACTATGATAACTAAGTAAATGTTCATATGAATTAATTCTTTAAATTTTATACTTCATTACATCTTTCATCACCTTCAATTTCTAATTTATCTATCAAAGTATCTCCAAACAAAAGTAATCAAATAATAGACATATCCACAATTTGATTTTATGAATATTGAGAAGTGATTATTTTAGTGATTTCAATATACTCTATTTCTATAATGGAGTTTATTTCTAACATATGAGAATTAGAAAGTTCATCTCTTCTAATGTGTTGCCAATGTTAAATATGTAGAACATTAAATATTTCATGTTTTTAATAATGATTGTTCGTAGTATTTTGTTGAAGTTGATTTGTAATTTTATTGATTTAAATCTTCTTACTGATTCATTATGTATCAACCCATTGATTGTTAATATTACAGGTATTATTTCTACATAAGTTAATTCTCTACTTTGTATTAACTTCTCTTGTAATTCTTTGTATTTATTTATTTTGTAAATATAATTTAATTCAATGTTTCTATCTTGACATATATCAACATTAATAATATATCATTTTTATCTTTGATATTTTGATAATATATATCTGGTCTTCTAACATTAAAAGAATTGTCATTAATAAATAAATCAATAATTTAATATAAGAATATATTAATATTAATATACATTTATGATATATATTAAAATCAATTTTCATTGAATTTAATAAAATATGTAATTAATATATGTTTATATATTTGTTTACACACATACTCATATTTGATATTTGATTATTATTCATTATTTTATTTATTTATTTTGATTATATTTTATTATTTATATTATTTATTTTATTCATGTATTTGATATTTATATTTTAAATATATTCTTATTATTTAATTATTTCATTTCTTATTAATATTATTCATATTCATATTTCATTTAATTTAACTTATAATTTATTTTTATTGATATTTATATTATATAAATACAAATAGATTAATAAAATTGATATTTATTTATCTATAATATCAAATTCATTTAATTTATATTTAATAATAGAAAATCATAAGTTAAAATATAGAATATAA